CATGTGGATCCCTGAGGCACACAGCTATGAAAAAGCAGCCCAAGAACTAAAATACCCTTGTTGTTGTTGTTATTAAGTGCCTTCGAGTCACAGGCGACTCATAGCGACCCTATGAAGGAGAGTCCTTGATGCTTGGGTGCCTTTCATTCTCTGTCCAAGTTCATAGGGTTTCCGGAGGCAAGCTATTATGGACGTGGACGCCAGTTAGGTGCACCTTTTCTCAAATTCTACCGACCTTTTATAAACCCTTTAAGCAAGCAAGCAAGCATGGAGAGACAGAGAGTACCAAGGACTTGAAACCCAGAAAACTTTGTGTAAACCCTGACAAGCAGGTTTTGGAGAACTTGGCAAATGGAGTACAGAGGTGGGAGAGGATAGCAGGAATGCTCAGGCAAAGGCAGGTCTACTAGATTTGTGGGAAACCCACAAAATAACTACAAATAAAAAGACAATAGAGAGCTTTGGAAATGATCTTTTTGTACAAAATAAGGTTCTGACACCAAAGGAGGGCCCTTCATGACTACCTCTTTCTAACTTTTCCAATCTTAATTTTATTGGTAGCCTCGGGAGCTCTGGTGGCTTAGAGGTAAGGAGTTGTGTTGTCAACCCAAAGGCATGTGATTCAAATCTATCAGTCGCTCTGTGAGAGAAAGATGGGTAGTTTTGTCCCATGTGATTCATTGCCTCTGAAAATCTGCTGGAGGGTCAGCTATGAGCTCCAATTTGACAGTACACAACAACAACATAACCATACACCCACAGCGTATGTGCTAATCATTCATTCAGAAGAGATTAGCTTAGCACAGACGACAAACCAGGCAATGAGCAAATAAGTAATGGGATGATATGTGTGTTGAATTGATTTCTTTCTTTGTTCTCATGTGATGGCATAAACATGACGCCATGGATTTCATTGTGTTTCCCCCAAAATATGTGTCCATGTGTCTGGCCTATGATTCTCCCTGGTTTGGTGGTCGTGTAATGATGTAATCATCCCCACAATGTGATCCAATATGGTCGGTTAATCAGATGTAAGGGAATTAGGATGGCATGCAAGCTCATTACTCAGGTCACAACCCTGATCGAAGGAGGAAATCCCATGGAATATGGCCTAGGTCATGTTTTATTTCACAAGAGATAAAAGAAGACAGCAGCAAGCAGAGAAGGCACTTGACTATCACCAAGGAAGAACTGGGAGAAAAGTTCATTCTTTGTCCCAGCACCCACATGCAGAAAGTTCCTGGAGCCACAAGTATGATGTCAAGAGACACAGAGATCCCCAAGGGAACACTGGGCCCATAGATGCTCTTTGTTGTGTTTGTTTTTTTCTTTCTTTCTTGTTGTGTATTGTAGAATCAGAACCGACCATCACAGAAAGAGATAGCCCCTCCTTCTCCAGCAGAGCATCTGGTGGGTTAGAAAGGCACGTCTTCAGGATTATAGTGCAGCTTCTTGCCACTAGGCCACCAGAGCTCCCTAATAGACGCTGGGTTTTGTTTGTTTTTTTGTGTGCCATCGAGTCAGATCCAACTGGAACAAGAGACTGCCCATACTTCTCCAGTGGAGCATCTGGTGGATTAGAACTGCGCACCTTTGGGATTGCAGCATAGGTTCTTATTACTGGGCCACCAGAGCTCCCTTCCCATAAATGCTTAAAGAAGACAAGGACCTACCTCCAGAGAGAGGCAGCTGTTTGCTGCAGCGAGATTCCTGAATTAAAAATTCCAGCATTTTATACTGTGAGAATACATTCTGCTTGTTAAAGCCATTCAGTTTTGTCATAGTTGCACTTGAAAATAATGATAACACCACACAGAATACATGATAAACATGCAGAGGAAACAGTCTGCTTTTCCTCTCCCCTGCTCTGGAGCTTGGCTTGCAAGCTTTCCTCTTTCTGGTTATTTACTGAGGCCTTCTCATCAGAGCATTCTGTGGCCTTTATGATGGACAACTGAGAAGATATAGAAGGCAGGAAGAAAGTTCTTTGGAGGAAAGGAGAGGCCAGAGATTTTCAATGTTTTAATTATATTTCTATTATCAGTAGTTCAAAAGTTTAATTTTGTTTTACATTTTAATTTTCTAAATGGCTGTAGTGAGAAAGAAGTCTTGGTGGCACAGTGGTTAAACTTTAAACTGATAGCCAAAAGATTAGCAGTCATGTATGTGTCAGAGAGATTGTGTACCTTGTAGACGTGTGTGTGTGTGGGGTCTCCTATATTCACAGATATATCTGCAGCATGTTAAAACACACACACACACACACACACACACACACATGTTGTTGTTGTTAGGTGTTGTGGAGTCAACTATTACTCATAGTAACCCTAAACAGCAAAGCTGAACCTGTGTCATCTTCATCATCTATGATCACGAGCCCATCATTATAGTCACTATGTCAATCCACCTTGTTGAGCATATATATATATATACACACCCACAGATAGCGAGCTCTGGTGGCTTAGTGGTAAGAAGTTGCACTGCCAACTCAAAAACATGCAGTTCAAATCTACTAGCTACTCTGAGCAAGAAAGACAGATTAACTGCCTCTGAAAACCTGCTTGAGGGTCAGCTACGAGTCAGTTCTGACTTGACAGTACACAACAACATATAGATACACACACGTACATATATAGATATTTATCTTCATGAATATAGTAGATACCACTTCTTAACCATAATCAAACACCTTGAGGTGAGGCTAGGTCTGAGGACTCACTCAGGACCATAGTCTCAGGAGGCAAAAGGTATAACAGACTCTACAAAGACAATATTATACATCTTTCTTCAGTGAGCTGTAACTGGGCTCGTCATAGCTTTTGAGCATTCATTTAAGGTTCAATTATGGTACTGGTCTCTACCTACTACAGCAAAGAAGACTGAAGAAATAAAAAACCATGTAGAAACCTGTGGTCCTTTGGACTAACAGGTCATTCAAACTCCAACCTCCATGACTCTATGACAAGAGAAATAAGATGGTGCCCAGCTTCTATGTCTGACTGCTCACAAAGGGATCATAATAGAGATCTTGGATACAGTGGGAGGAAAATGTAGGGGAAAAAAAACCTCAAAAGAATTATAACCAGGAAAAGATAAGCATTGCTGTGCCTCTGTGTTGACTCAATGGAGGTTGATTGGCGTGGTTTGGTTTTGCAGGTGCCAACAGTGCCAGGCCTGGGGCCTATCTGCAGATAATTTATCCAAATGGAAAAAAATGTGTGGTAAGGTTCAGGATGGATGGTGAAGAGATTGATATTGTTCACAGCTTTAGTTTGCTTGGCTGTACAGTCAACACTCTTGACACCAGTAGCCAGGAAATTAAAAGGCATATTGCCCTGGGAAATCCTGCGGTTAGGGACTTCTCCAAAGTACTGAAGAGCAAGCAATTGGTGTCTCTCTGGAGACTAAGGTGCGTCTGATACAAGCCATGGTCTTTGCTATCATTTGTTATGCATCGGAAAGTTGAACAATGACTAGGGAGGATAGAAGGAGAATTGATGCCTTTGAGCTGTGGTGCTGGAGAAGAGTATTGAGGGTACCATGAACTGCAGGGAAAACAAACAGATTCATCCTGGAAAGGGTCAAACCAGGCTGCTCCTTGGAGGCAGGGATTCTGAGGCTCCGTCTAACGTACTTTGGACATGTTGTAAGGAGGGACCGGTCCTTGGAGAAGGACGTCATGCTTGGGAGGGTGGAGGGACTGGCGCAGGAGGGGAAGACCCTCTATGAGGTGGATTGATTCAGTGACTGGGGTGATCGGGATGGGTGTGTCAGAGGCAGTGCGATTGGCACAGGATAGAGCAGGGTTTAGGGCTGTTGTACTAGAGTCGCAAGCTACTCGACGGCCTGTCATTCATGAGGTCGTTAAAAGTCCTGGTGAATTGGACACCACCTACCAGTAACATGACAGGGGGTGAGGGTGTTAAAATGTTTGATGGCCATCTCCCTAAAAAAGTGTGTGTGGGTTATATTTATCCAGGGTCACTTTATTAGAAATTAAAAAAGAAGCCATACTCATTTCACTAAATATTAATTCATAGTAAATAAGTAATATTTTTCCTTTTTTTTAGTAATATTGTTAAAGAAAATATATTTTTGGCTCAGTATTTAAAAGTTATTAATTTTTTAAGAAAACGTTAGTTTTTCTTAAAAAATTGTGTTTTGAATGAAAGTTGAAAGAGAAAACTGATATTCTAGTCAACCACCGAAAAGTGTATTTTCCAAAAAGAAAAAAAAATAAAATTTCGCAAAATAGAGCGTATTTGTAACGCCGACGTCCAGCTTACCTTTTTCTCTCTCACACCTGGTTTACTCTAGAAAAACAAAGGGTTTCTTGCATCTGCTTCTCTGCATTTCGAGCTGTTTCGCAAATGTGTGGTGGAGCCTCTGGAAAGTTCCACCGTAGACTGTAGAGAGAGTGAGGGTGACAAAGGTAAATGAACCTGTTTGTAAGGCTTTGGCTTTTGTGCCCCTCCGACCTGACAGGAGGCGATCCCTGCCCCTCACCTGGGCAGTACTCCAGGGACAATGTTCTTAGCAACAGAACTCGGGGAAAGAGGCGACATTTAGTTTGCTCATATGTTGGGTTTGGGTTTGTAGACTTAGCTAGAGTTACTAAGAAGAAGACAGACAACATAACATCTATCTCCTCAGACACACGTCTTTAGCTCGGACAGAGCTCGCCCTCGGACTACCACTCCCGACAGAGCTCGGGCCAGGGGCGGCCCGACAGCCGCGAGGAGTCTGAGTGGCCGCAGCGGAATGATGGACGTGGGAGGGGCGGGCCTGTGTCTATCAGACACCCAGCTTCCATTGGAAAAGCTGAGGAGAAGGGGCCGGTCCTCTGGTTGCATCAGCCAATGGTTTGAGGTCGGGGGCGTGGCGGGGACGGAGCGTGGCCGAGCTAATTCGCGGGCTGCGTGGGGAGCTCGGAGCCCCGGAAGGCGGGCCTGCCGAGGGCTAGACGCCGTCCCGGGGCCCTGACGGCTTCGGCTGGGGAGATGGCGACACGATGGAGCAGCGAAAATGTGGTGGTAGAGTTCCGCGACTCGCAGGTGTGCTGGGGCCGGAATGGAGCTGTTTGGGCATGCGCCCTGATTCCCCTCCCCCTACGCTGCTTGGTTGTCCCCGGGGGTTGCGGGGAGACCCTCCCCAGGCACTGGCTGGGTGGGTGGGCAAAGGGGACCTGGAGCTGTCAAAGCCGGGCGGGCAAGGGGAGCCTTCATGACCATTGAGATCGGTGGAGAGGGCGTGAGCGGTGCTTTGGTGGTCCCCGTGGGTGTCAGGGAGTGGGGTCCGCTTTGGGACATTGGAGGGTGAGCTGGGAGGCGCTTTTTCCTATGGATCGCTGAGTAACTTCGAGCCAGTGACAGCTCTGGGGGTGAGGGGGAGAATTCGATGAAAGACAGTGTGCTAAGTGCTTATTTTCAACGACCAGATTTTCTGAATACCTGCAGATGCTACATAGTAAAAAATGCCATGTGACAAACAGGTGTGTGGGCCACTGCGTGCATTCTCTGGTCACTTCTCAGCGTGTCACTTCTCTCACCTGAAGAGAGAAGATAGATAATCAATCATACCTGCCTGATAGTTTGGTGTGAGAATTTAAGAAGTAATACATTTATTTAGAACAGGTAGGTAGCACAGTGGTATATGGTAAGCTTTGGGAAACATTTCCATTCTTAGGGATCTTTGCCATTTTGTTACTATTCCTGGTCTTTTCGCTAAGTGACTTTATTTTTTTTTCTCTCATTCATGAAAGTGTCAAACCCCAACCCCACTGCCATCTGAATGGTAGTGATCTTGTAGGAAGCATTGGTGGCCTAGTAGCAAGAAGCTGTGCTGTAATCCCGATGGCGCGCAATTCAAATCCACCAGCTGCCCCGCTAAAGAAGGATGGGCATTCTCTTCCTGTGCGATTAACTGCATCTGAAAACTCACTGGAGGGTCAGCTGTGGGTTGGTTCCAACTCGATGGCACACAACAACAACAGTGACCCTGTAGGAGAGTAGAACAACTCTGTAGGGTTTTCAAGCCCACAAACCACTATGGAAGCAGAAAAGCCTTATCTTTCCCCCAGGAGCACTTGGTGGGTTTGAACCATCAGCCTTTTGGTTAGCAGCCCCATGCTTAATTCACTGCACCACTGGCGTCCCATTATGAAAATGCCATACATAATAAATAGGTGTTAGCCTTTTTTCTCACGAGGCCGTGATCTTTGAGTGAAAGTCTGGCCTCACAGCCCTTGTTCAGCTCATTACTTGACATCACAGTGAGTCACTGGGGCCGGTTGTAGGGTAGTTCCATCGTAAATAGCATGTCCCTTCTTCTCCAGCGTCAAGGACAGGCCTTTCTGGGTGACAAACTTCCATTTATTCATTGGCTCCAGTATTTGCTGAGCTCTTCCCTGGTGCACAGTAGCATCGTAGGTTAGAAGTTAGATTGCTAACTGAAAGGTGGTCAGTTCAAACCCACTAGCCACTTGGCAAGAGGAATATGTGGCATGTTGCTTCCGTAAAGATTGCTAGCTTCGGCAACCCCGTAGGTGGTTCTGCTTTGTCCTGCAGGCTTGTTCTGAGTCTGTATTGACTCAGTGGGAGTTGATTTGCTTGGTTTGGTTTTGCAGGTGCAACAGTGCCACACATGGGGTTGATCTTTAGGGGATTGTTCCGAATGGACAGAAACGTGCTGTACAGTAAAGAGAGTGTTGTGAGTGTTTTTCTTTGGCAAAATCTCCCATCCTCTTTTGCCTTGAAGATGATTGAGTGGAGGAGCCCCCACCAATTTGCTCCCCAATGCTCTCTGATAGGCAGCCAGGCCACCTCCAAGGATCCAGCAGCAGCAGCAACAATGGCACAGCAGCATTTGTCTGAAGGGATCCTGCCAGAAGCACTTTGCACTGTCAGCACGTTGTCTCTGTGACTGGTCCTCCTGAGGGAGGCGTCGGGCCCCTGGGGAAAGGAGCCCTATTCCTGTTAGCCTTCTGCTAATTGGTTTCACTGGGGACTAGAACTGACTGGAATCATGCATTATGCCGCAGCTTGCTAATTTGGACGCTACTAATCCACCAGCCCTTTAATTTTCACAGAAACCCGGGTAGCCTCACCCCTGCTTCTCTATAGAGATGTAATTGAGGAGACCTGCAGAGAGGGTGCTGACACACATATTAGGATGCTAGGAAGTGGTGTCAAATAATTAAACCAAAACAGCAGTTGTCATAGGAAGGGAACAAAGTATATTCTGCAGTTTAACTGCCTTGTGGGGGTTTATGTTTTTCTTATTTTTAAGTTCAGTCAGAAGAATACCTCTTAGTGTGAATAAGGATGATTTCGTGTTTGATTCTCATCACAGGTAGAGGGTGTGATGGGAACCCGTTTCATCAGCTGCTTCAAGAACATAAGAAATGTTCCTATTACCTTTTTGAAAAGGGCTACCAAAACAGTCAACTTTTCAAAACACGGTGCATCTTTTTTTTTTTTAAATTTTTTTACGGTGCATCTTTTTTTTTTTCTATAATTATATTTTATTA